CTGGCCTGCGTTGTCTGTTTGATCTGATACTTTGCTTTGTGCTCCCTGCTCTATCTGTCATTATACTACTTGTTCCCTCCCCAGTCTGCTGTATGCCACTCAGAGAAGCTGCCTGTGCCACTTGTGGCATCCTATTTTAGGCAATGAGGATAAGACAAGAATGCAGGGGAGACAAAGCACAGACAGAAGTGACAGTTTTTGCACAATCTGGCTACAGAAAGTGGTTTATAGTCATGACCAAACACAAGTGTACAGCTGCAGACTCCTTCAAAAATGGCCAACTGGGTGAAAATCTGAACCCTCATTGCTCGAGGGGTCAGATGAAGACATTTCAAAACATAGCGTCTTCTGTAACTTGTGTCTGCACTGCCTGTCTGCTTGTCGTTGTCCTCAGAATGGGAGAGAGGAAAGAGAGTGGAGGAAGTTTGGTCTGGTCGAGGGGTCAGATGAAGACATTTCAAAACATAGCGTCTTCTGTAACTTGTGTCTGCACTGCCTGTCTGCTTGTCGTTGTCCTCAGAATGGGAGAGAGGAAAGAGAGTGGAGGAAGTTTGGTCTGGGGTTTTTTAACCCCCGCTGGAGGTAGAGTGGGTGTATTGGAGCACCCCCTGAGGTGGGGGGTCTCTAATTCACCCACATCACCCTGCAGTGCTGGCTGGGTTACCCCTAGAACAGTGGTCACCAACTGGTTGATCACAAGTGGCTGGTCAATCGGGAGCCTCTGGCAGTTGATCTCAGTCTGTGGTGGCTCAGGAGCAGTGGGATGCACATGGGGAGTGGCCAGGATGCAATCTGGGAGTGGTGGGATGCACGTGGCTGGGGTGAGCTGCACCCACTGCCACCAGCGCCAGGCAGGGTGAGTGGGACAATCCCCCTCCCTGGCCCCTGCCACTGGATGAGTGGGGCCCCAGCGGGGCCAGGCCAGCAGAGAGTCAGAGCCTGGGCAGCTTGTCCAGGCACACGGGGGGGGTGAACTCCCACCACTGCACACACCCCGGCGGAGGCCCGGGGGGCACATGATCCCTGATCTGTGTGCAGGGTGAGGTGGCTGCCTCTGCACACTGGACTTTGTGTCCCAAGCCCCACTGCAGCCATTCAGGGCCCTAGACTGAGCTCCCTTTTCCCCTCCCATTCTGAAAACAGGGCAGGCTGGCAGGGAGCAGGGGCTGTTGCTAGGGGAAGCTGGCTGCAGGCTGCAGCCAGCAGCTAGTGAGCTTCTTTTTGTCCAGGGGATCGTTGTAGCTCAGAACGCTTCCTGCAAAGCATTGTCACTTACAGTGGGGAGCTGCATTTCTGTCTGCATCCTTAGACTCGATGAAGAGAGCAAAAAGAAAGGAGATTGGAAGTGAGAGCCATTTGAGAACAGGGATGTGGGACTGACCAGGGGTTAGGGAATTGGAGGGGAGGGAAATCAAATGAGGAGTTGGGAAGTGGGAACTGGGATCGACTCCACATGGAAACTTAAAATATTATGCTGGGTAGGTTGGAGGTGATTGAATGGCTAGAAGAAGAAACTGGAGAGTGGGATGGAGACTGGGATGAAGGTCTTGGAAGAATAACATTACAACTTGCTAGGTTAGGAGACTTATAGGTAGCTTGGGAAATGAAGTGAGACTGGTTAGATGAAGAGAAAGGGGAACTTAGAAGAGAAACCAAGGTTAATATGTGTATATAATTTTTTTTTTGATGCATGCCTTGGGGACGGTGCAAAACTACACTCACAGATGTAACAGGAGTCCATGGAAGCTGTGTTTTTGAGCATATAAATGTAATATAATGCTAAATAGTCTGAAAAAAATCAGGTCCTAAGCATTTCAAATTAGGCACCCAAAATTAGACCTTAATCTTTCTGTGACTTCATTCCTATCTGTAAAATGGTGAACATTATACCCAAATTTTACACAGATGTTGCAAAAATAAAATCATTTACTTTTGAGATTCTGTGATTCTATAATGACAAGCACCATAGAATAACTTACATAGAAACAATAATTTTATCGTCAGTAAAGAAAGCAGGAAGATGCGCAATGAGTAATGAGGAGAAAAAATATTGAAAAGCTGCTCATTGAAAGAACACTGCTCATCCTGAGTGTTGAATGAAGCAAAGTTTCTGAGGAATAGATGGTATAATCATATAATTATAGACTGCATCGTACTCAAGTGCTCAAGGAAGGTGGATGAAGGTTGAAGAGGCAACCTTAATGCTGATATTTCCTAACTTTTGCATGCTTGACTTTGCAGTCTTACTGATGATCTTGAACAGGGTCAGGGTGGATAAGAATCAATGATTTAAAAAAAAATTGGATTTTTTATTTAAATCAGATTTTTTGATTTCATTATATATTTTTATTTTTTTGTTAAGATGCTTTTTAAAAATAAACTTATATAAAGATAGTTTTAATGTAAGATATGTTAAAGCTCAAAGATATCATGAAGGAATAGGGATTATAACTTCTAATTATATACTGTTTGAGACAATATATTCACATTAACATTTTTAGACATTTTATAAATTGGTTACAACAGGCCATGGATTATATTGGGAGTCCAATCTTTTTGGGTTCTCAGAGGCTCCTCTATAGATTAGTAAAGAGTAAAGAAAACTGATCTACCCAATGGAATTCAGGGCTCAGTCTGGAAGATCCCATTAAGCATCTCTGTGATGCTTAGTTTCCATTCTCAAACTGTGGATTTGTGTCTCCAGAGATCACAGGCAGACAAGGCTCTTTGGGTAGATGTGACCAACTATTTAGTTGGTCTAATCTTTTATTAGACCAACTAAATAGTTGGAAAAATTGTTCTTTTCAAGCTTTCGGGCACAAACAGCCTTCTTCAGGAATAGGGAGAGTTTGTTGTCTCCAGAGATAACATTCATGTTAGCAGTATATGGAGATGAGAGATGAGAGACCTGATTACCTACGTATCAGCCCTATTGTCTCTCCACACGTTTGTGCGCACACAGTCAAGCCCTTACTTTTCTCTAAAAGTGCAAAGGTTCAAGAAGTTAAATCAAATAACAAGAATGCTCTTTTTGTAGAAAACAATGATTAAATCAAGGCTTCTTGACCGGTGATTTAAATCATGAGCAGCCCTCCCTTCCCCTCCCTTCCACAGTGCTGAGCTGAGGGGGTGGGCATGGCCAGGTGCCCACAGGACCTCTGATTAGGGAGGTCTGCCTGCACGGTTACAGGCTTTTCCCCGCTGGGTGCTCAAGGGGCGGGAGTGTTGCCAGCCCCAGCCCCGGGCTAGCACTCTGAGGCAAGGGGTGTGTGCAGTGTACGAATCTGTTGATGATACGGAGCTTTTCAGTCTCCCTCTCCCTGATTCTTTATACTGCCTGCAGCAAACTTACAGGCACGCAAGCCAGCAGGGGGTGATAACTGGTTTCAGCTATTTTCAAGCTGGTTTATGTGCACTGAACATCTGTTCTGTTACAGGTTTAAACCAGTTTCTAATCACTTAAACGGGTTTATGTGTAATGTCTGTCCCTAGCCAGAGAGTTTAAGTGTATTTAAGTTAATCATTCTGTTAAATGTTTTCTCCAATTTTGCCTAAATGTTTTAACACATATAAATAGGTAACTGTACTAAATAAATCCAAGGGTCAGGAAGAATGCATCCAATCAACCTGTAACAACCAACAACTTATCTGTAACATTAAACACATTAAGGTTGGGCCAAACCCCCCATATTTTATAGTATGCAAAGTCAAGTGCTGAAAACCTATGAAATGCCAGTATTAAGATTACCCTGGGATCTTAATGATGTATTATGGTACAGTTTGATTACATGACTGTATATGATTTTTTTTCTACAGGAATAGTGTTATGAATTGCAGCTTCTCTTATTAACTGGGTTGGGGAATGAGGTGGTGACCTAGGGCATGTGTAGACAAAATGGAGGCCCTAAATTGAAACAGTGGATTTTAAAAAACACCACTTCAGTTTAGAGCTGATTAAACCCCCATGTCCTGCACACACCCTGCTGACTTACCTGCCTCTCTAGTGGGGAGGGGAGGGCGAGCTGCCGGCAGGTGGAGAGGTCCCTGGGCTGCGGAGGGACGGGCGCTTCCCTCTGCGGCAGCGGTTGCCCCCTTCAGGCAGCACCCGCCCACAGGCACCCAGCTTGGATGGTCCTGGGGGGCACTGTAGCTGTTTAGGTAAGCACTGTGCCCCCGTGCAGCTCAGGCAGGCAGGCTCCGGGGGGGGAAAGAAAAAACGATCAGAGGCTTGCTGCTTTTCTTGGGCAGAGCTGCTTTCCTGGGCTGCTGCCAGGCTGCCTGCAGGGCTTCCCGCAGAGCCATGGAGCTGCATGGAGCCCAGTGCTTCACTCTGCGTCTGTAGGGGCAGCAAACTAAGACTCCTCAACAGAGTTTTAGTTTGCTGTGCCCCAAGTCATGTAAGGTGCATTATGCTGCCAAATTTCCTACAGCGGCTGGAATTAATGTGCAATATGCTGCCAAGGCGTGCAAACACCGACACCATTAAAGTGATGCAAAAACATTTAGTCCACTTTAAAGTGTTGTGCACAGATGCCTCTCGTTTCATCTACACACAGCCCTTAATGGCAGTGGAAGAAACTGGATCAGCTAATTGCTCATGGGCCAACTGCTTGCCCATGTGGTTCTGGGCATGCTCAGAATTGAGAAGAAAAGAAAGTAAGTTCTGTACTAGGAGAAGAAAAATAATTGATCAGTATTTAGAAGCTGCAGAGTCTGAAAGTCTGGTTGTGGTTTGGATACAAAACAACGCTCTGAAGTTTGGGAAGTAGTTAAAACCCTTTGCTGTACAAACCATGCTTTGTTTTGGCCTTCTGAAGTCCATTCCAAAGTACAATGACTGTAAATAAATTAAACTGGGTTTCCTGACTGTATGTGAAATCACATCTTTTGTTTTTAATTTGAAAATAACTGATTACTCAAATAAAAAAATCTCTGGAGTCCTAAGAAGTCTTGACAGGATAATAAATTCTGATTGCATACATCTTTGTGTTTTCTTCCAGGCACAAACCATGAATTACGTCGGGCAGTTAGCAGGCCAAGTATTTGTCACTGTGAAGGAGCTCTACAAGGGATTAAATCCTGCTACATTGTCTGGATGCATTGATATAATTGTTGTACGTCAGCCAGATGGAAACCTCCAATGTTCCCCTTTTCATGTGCGCTTTGGGAAAATGGGGGTTCTGCGTTCTAGGGAGAAAGTGGTATGACAACATTTGTTTTTTTCTCTGTGAAAAAATCCTAATTGAATTGTAGGTACAGAATATGTTACAGTGTATTAGTCCAGGCTTTCCTTTGATGCAGGTCATAAAATACCAAAAGTAGCTTCAAGGTTTATTTAAAATGGTCGTTATGGATGGTATTAGTTTAATACAATTTATAGACGGTTGACCATAATGGGTTAAAATCAAAACAAAACAGGCAGGCAAATTTATTGAATGAAAATGTACTTGTCATGCTTTGTGCATAATTTCATCAGATGTAGCTATTTTATGTTACTACTTGCTAATGTTTATGGGAGTATGCAAGTATATTGATAAATATATTAACAAGAGTACGTCTCAGAATGTTTTGGTATCTTTATAAAGATGAATTTAATAATCTAAAAACCCTTGTAATAAAATATATGTATTTACGGTCATCATAATCTAAAAAATTATATAGCATTAATAGGATGGGTGGCAAAATAGAAGTAAAGAGACTGAAGAATCTGGGGCTGTTTAAGAGGGGATGAATAATAGGATATGATTGAGACATAAAATACTCAAGTTTCCTTTTCGTCCTTTTTTATACTATAAAAATGGGAACAGTTGGTGAATCTGAAAGCATTTAGAGCTCATGAAGGGACAGAATTACCCTGTGGAAATTTCTGTCAGTGAGATCAAGAGCTTAAGAGTACTGGAAAGAAATTAGACTGTTATGTGGATAATGATACATCTACAGTTACATAAGAAACAGAACTTTTTATCATTATGAAACCTCATGCATCAGGATGCTAGCCAGCCTTGACTACTATAGTTTAGGAAGACACTTTCCCAACAAGCATTTATTTTTTATTATTGGGTTTCATTCATGTTCTCTGAAGCGTCTGTCTAACTTCAAACACAGAATATGGGGCAAAATGGACTTGATATGAGAATTCCCACATATTGCAAAGTGCTTGATTTTAATTCAAAATATATTTTTCCCAAGGTTGACATAGAAATTAATGGAGAATCTGTAGATTTGCACATGAAACTAGGGGACAATGGAGAAGCGTTTTTCGTACAGGAAACAGATAATGATCAGGTAATGTCCAATAATAATTTTTATTTATCAGAGTTCTAGTGCGCATCCTACCATGGCAAATTTGAGTACTTTGTTGATAAGATATACTTGAATTTGACTACTTGAGTACTTGAATTTGAGTACTTTGTTGATAAGATATACTTTTTATCCAGCTTGTACCTATGATAGTTGCTGGGGATTTATCTCATGTAGGAATTTGGTGTTGGATTGAATAGCCATTTCCGGACTGAAATTGGATATCTTTGCAAGACTGATTAAAAATGACAATAATCATTGATCAAAGATAAACTGAGGCCCAAGTATGTTTCATTATGTTTGTGCATTTGTGTGTATGAAAGTATGCGTGCATTTTAGCATGCTCCAAGTATGCTTTCACAATGCCCAGGGACACACTTGCAACACAGTGATTTACTTATGTCCGGAACTTATGTTGCCCAAATCTCTTATTTGTATATGTCCACTGAATGTTTCAGAAATGCAAAAGTGCACATGCTCTTTTAGTAGGGTTGGAGTGTTGTTGTAGCTGTGGTGGTCTAGGAAAAGTCTGGAAGCAAAGCTTTTTTGTGATTTTTTTTATTGGACCAACTGTATGCAATTGGGCTTGAATCGGCTGGGCTCTTTTAAAGTTGGGCTTAAGGAGCTTGTGCCATTAAGCGAATGATTCTGCAACTATCAGCCACACCATTTTTGAATAAGGACTGTGGTGCAAATATTTGTGTGGTTAAGATCTTGTTGATGTATATAAGGCACATACTAATTTTGCCTACCCTATCCACCGTGTAATGACTGGGAAATCTTTTAAGGTTATTCTCTGTGAAAATATGCTTCAGTTTCTTGTTTGTCCAGAATGAAACAAATGCAGTTAAAACTGTGCACTTAGCTTCATTTGAACATTGCACACATACAATTTTACTTCCTAAACTTTTAAATTTAAATATGTTAACTAAGCAAGATCTGGAGGCATGCTTTCTAAACAAAAAGTTATGAAGACAGTTTTAATTTCTTGGAAATCTTCACATTGTTTGATACAAGTGAGACTCATTGCTGGTGTATAGGTGCTGACTTCCCATTTCTTTCTGAGACCAGTGTGATCTGCACACAGATCATGGGAGCATGATTAGGCAGTAAAGTTGTTGATTTAGGAAAGAGATGTTTCCATCACTAAAGTTTGCTGTTCAGGGTATTAAGGGGCTGCTGAGCTCCCATTGAATTTGAGCCCATTGAATTTTATGTATGAAGTCACATAATTTATGTTTTGGCTGTTGAGTCTTAAGAGCAAGAACCTAAACTGTGCTATGAAGCAGAGTCCCGAGTGACCGTGGAAGAGGAAAACACCATGTTTCTCTGTGCAGCAAGGCATTTGCAAAGCCTTCTTGGGCCCTGTCTGCCTCATTTGGCCCTAAAGGTTGACTGGAGCTTATTGTGCTACAAGGAAAGATCGGTCCCTTTGTTCATGGATAAAAGTGGTAGTAACCATTCCTGACCTCTGGGGAAAGACTGTGGAGGGTAGTAGTTGATTCTCAACTAGGATGTTGTGAGTTCCTTAAGAAAATGCCATGGGGTGCTGCACTGTAAGTTGTACAGAAGGAAAAAAGAGCAACATATGATTCACAGGATAGACCCAGACATTTTCATAATGTCAAAAGCATGTGGGTTTTCTAAGTTATTTCAACAGAAGAATTACTTCATTATTTATCCTTAGTCAAGAAATGAGTGAAAGCTAAGAGCTTGAATTTTCTGACAGGTGCCTTGAGTCTAAAAAGGTTGAGAACCATTGGTGTAAGGAAACTTCCCATGCCCCTCTTTGCATCCAGGCAAGAACATAGCACAGCGTAGCCCACTTTATTCATTCTAATATGTTAATATTTGACATAGATCTGAGTCATATGTTTTGATTGTGTATCCAGAACACACATCAGGATGTTGGGACCTGAGATAGTGGTCTTAGCTTATTAGAGAGTAAGGACTGAGCTGTGAACATGAGTTGAACTTTCCTAGTGCAGGGTATTTGACTGAGGATCTGTTTATGACTTATCTCTAATATCAACTGAATACAGACTAGAATAGTTGACTGGCCAGCATTAGCCATCTGGAAGATACCCTGAGTACAGTGCTGTCCCTTGTTTTTTTTAAGAACTGGAATTCTGAAGCTGTTTTCTGCTGCCCTGGACCCTATGGACCCTATATGCAGAAAGGTTATTTTGGGCCCTGGTTACTTTTTAATCACTTAGGTTATTAGACAAATGATCAGTGAGTAATCAGATGCTAGAACTGTATTTATGAATGCCTGGAGTAATAATATGCCACATATTTTGATATCTTTCTTCAGGAGGTAATTCCTCACCACCTTTCCACATCCCCCATTCTATCAGAGGGAGTTGCTCTAATGGAATCACAGCGGAAGAGGAACTCAATAGACTGGGTCAGGAGCTTGGACAGTAGTGGATCCTCACAAGCACAAACTCAAGTACATGTTTCTCAGTCTGCTATAGAAACCTCTTCAGTTTGTGGCTCTGTGAAGAAAAGAAGAAAAAAGAGGAGAAAATCTACCCATAAAATAGACAGCTTGAAAAGAGAAGACAATGGAGACACTTCAGAAGATGAAGACATGTTTCCTATAGAGATTAGTTCAGATGACGAGAATGACCTATTGGACAACAGCAGGTATCCTCCTTTAATAGCAGACCTAATGCCAAATTGTAGGGTTTGGTGTTTCTGTTGTGAACTTCAGAGAGGACTTTCATTTATATTTTTGGTGAAAGTTTTCTTCTAAATTAACAACCAAACCTTTCAGACTAGTTGTGAAATCCCAAAGAATTCTGAATTGAAACCAACAAAGAGAGACTCCCTTTGCTGTGATTATAATGCACTGGCAATTTATAACTATAAATAGGAATCTAATAAAAACCATGGATGTAGTGTAAAATGGCATTCCTCCATTGACTTCAGTGGAGCTATGCCTATTTGCCTTGCCAGGCAATTTATCTTAGGCCCTCTCTACACATGAAGGTAAAGGTGCAGTTGGATCTAAAGCATGACCCACACAGTTGTGCCTCCTGCTAAGCCACACGTGCACAGCAGGAGGTGCGATTGTGGGATCATGCATTAGATCCAATTGCACCTTATTGCTGGTATAGGGGAGCCCAGTTCTGGGCTTCCCCTGAATCAGCAAGAAGCAGACACACACAGCTGGGAGTCCCCTTTGCGGAGGGGGCTCCTAGCTACAAAGGCCATGTACAGCCAGGACTGAGAGAACTACAGTGGATGGGGTTCTGGGTCCCAGTTGTGTCTCATTTCTGTGTGAAGCTCAGCCAGGATCCAGAACCCCATCAGCCGCAGGACCAAAAGCCTCATGTAGGCCTGGGGGTTTCACGCACCCCTGGGCCCGGCAATCACAGCTGCCATGATACCCAGAGCTTGGGAGCTGCACCTTGTAGTTGGGAGCCCTGTCAGTTGATGGAGCTTCCAGCTGCAGGGGAAACCCTGCTACACATATTCATTAAAGCTCAGTAACAACCAGCTATAAAGTTAGTACACATTTTTGAGGTCTACCTTTATAGCTTGTTGGAGCTTTGTATCATGTGATAGCTACTTTGCATGTGTATCTGGTCTCAAATAATTGTGCAATTAACCAGTTAATTGTACAATACCTGTAATGTGTAGAGGGGGCCTCATATTTTATACAACGGCTAAACAATTGTGATGATTAGTTCAAAATAGCAACTAATTTTTGGTGCGATCATTCTGGAAATCCCAGTTTTGTATTACAAGAGACCCACCTGCTACTTTCTTCTATATTTCTAACTTCACTTCTGACTTTAGGCTCCCTCCACCAAAACATATGGGGCATTTATACACATGCTCCAGGAAGCGGGAGTGCTAATTAAAAGTACCAGAATATCACGTATATCAGTGTCTCTGCACTGAAAAATGGTGGTGGGGGCACTTTAACTAACAATTGTGGAACAAGCTTTTGTTAAAGTGTCCTGCCACCATTTCACGCTGATAAACATGATGCTGGAGTCTGCTGGAGTTTGGTAATTACCACGATTAATTACCATGATTAGCAGCCTCAATGCATGTGTATAGGTGCCCATGGGTGAGGGACACTTGGCCCTGAGAAAACATCTTGCCCTAGAAAGTTTATCCAATGAGAAAGAATAACAGAAACAGCACCACAAACTTTTAACAATAATCTTTAATCATCTGGAGACCACAACAAGGGAGTCAGATAGTGGTTCTTATACCATTTGGTTTGTACCCCACCTTGAGTGGCTTTTTGCTATAATGTGTATGTGGTAGTGTCAAATATTACCTGGAATATGAAATATTATTTTTAACCTCCACATTTTTTTACCCTTAGGAAGTCAGTTCCTGATGTGTGTGTTGATGAAATATCAGAGAAAAATACTTCTGCGCTCAATACCCTTTCTCAGTCTGCACCATATCCCCATTCAGATGGGGAATGGTCACCCCTTCAAAGGTACAGTATGAAGCAATAGAGTCTGAGCCTGTAGATTTCTTAAACAGGCTCCCCTTCCCTAAAGAGTCTTATATTTGAGTTTTATCTGCTGCCTTCCCAAGCTTTTTTGTAGCAAAACATTGTTGCTGTCAGTAATAAGAGGATGTCTTCTGTAGTCCAGTTCAGACAGCATGCAGTGACGTTAAGGAAAATTTCCCCTTACTTCTAGTCTGCAGATGTGGATTATAATGATATTTTTCTCTGCTGTTCTGAACCCTGGTATATTTATTTTACTGGCCTGGACACATATCCACTGTTGTTCTCTGAAGTTGGAATCATGCTCCTGTAAACCAAGAAATCAGTTATCCAAAAATAACATACATTGTAGCCCTTATTCATATGTTTAGACTCCCTGATGGTTGGGCCCATTCATAATTACCATATAGTGTTGTAAAGATACTATGGAAGTAATTTATCCAGAAACTTTGGAACGATTGTAATGAATTTTGTCATAAGCCTGGGTTTTTTTGTACTTTAAGCATGATCGATCTGTGAACTTACAAGAACGGATCATAGTATGTAAAAGTAAGATTTTGGAAAATAAGTTTCTCATGTTTGTTTCCAAAATCTATTTCTTTAGCTATGAAGGTAGATATAATATGGAATATTAATTATATTGAACAAATACATACACAGTATTGTCTCTGTCTTTTTCCTTAGGTAATTCATATGTATACGTCAGAGTCAAAGCATGTTACCTTAGACTGCATTTCTTGCTTCTTGGATTACACCTTGCCTCCCCCTAGGCCCTCCCACCCCCACATACCTTGTTCAGTGTCAGTTCTGCCCACTTTCTGTACGAGATCTCATAGTGAGTATCTCTCTTGTGCAGAGGTTTGTGCAGAGATTTTTGTGGTGTTTTGGACTGTATGCTACTTTTGCTTATTGACTGCAGTGTACAAATTTTGGAAACTCAAGGTGTATATTCCCATTATGGAATGGCTACTGAACACCCAAAGAGATTGTGTTAAAATCACGTTGATTATGAATAATGACACTCCATTTTTCCTTTTTTTCCTTTTTTTTTTTTTAACACATTGCGCTGTCCAGTCAGCCTATAGAATGCACAGGGCCATCCTCTCATCTCACAGTTCCAGCAGATGGAGGCCTATCTAGTTCTTGTCCTCATCAATCGTCTCGCTTTCCTGCGACAGACAGGTAGAGCAGCTGTTCTCCCCTCCCTCCCCTTTGGAGCTGTGATTAATCCTTTAACACATTAACAGTACATGAACCTTGCTGAATTTAACAAAGCTTCTTACTACTAACCTAGCCACTTGGGAGGAAAAATGCTAGTTACTTCCTAACCATCTCCCACGTGGGGTCTGTTGGGAAGTTCATTGTCCAGAGAAATCCTGCACTGAACTGTGATGTGATCAACAGTAAAACCTGAATTAAAACTAAAAAAGAAAGCATCCAGGGACATAATTGTCAAGATTACTGGGAGGTATAAAATTAAGTATTTTCATAGCAATTAATACAGACATTTTATCATTTAATTTATTTTAAATGGCATTTCCATGCCACAGAAAATAGGAAATCTTCCTCCAAAATTTGCTTTCCTCAAGTGTACTACAGTATTTGTACATGAATACCTGAAAAAATCCCCATGAGTTAGCACTTAATTACACAAGAGAAGGAGGAAACAAAACCAAATCCATGGTGAGAATGGAGTAGTGAGGAAAAGGAAGCTTTTTTTTCCCTCTTGTTTTCCTGCTGTCTTTCACTAGGTTGATGATGGAAGCTTTTACTTAGATGGACTTAGCAGGGAGAACGTTTGGTTAAAACACTAATCTAAGATTTAGGAGACCTGTGTTTAAGCCTCTGCTCCCCTACACTTTTTCTCTGTGACAAGAGGCACATCATTTACTGCCTCCATTTCCTATTCCCACAGTGGGGTGTTGTGAGGATAAACAGATGTAAGTCATGAGGTGCTCAGATACTCAGGTGAAGGTGCCATATAAGTGCCTAAGATAGGCTGCATTTCTCTTCTTTCCAACTGCCCTTTCTCGTATTTTGGGGTCAGGAGACTGTTTTCATGATTTCTTTCTTGGACCCCTGGCTGACGTTTATTGTTGGCTCAGGCTCTCTCTATATTTGTTAGGAAGCACTGTGGTCATCAGTGTCCTTCTTTTGCTTGATGCTGTAAAACTGTCAGTTCCTCAGTTCTGTACTAGTGCTGTGCGAAGCTTCACCAGGTGTTTCATTTCGACTTTGTTTCAACTTGTTTCAAGCTGGGAACAGCCTGACTGGGGGAGGCGCTTCCCCCAGCCAGGTTCAGTTCCCCAGCGCTGAGTCCCAGGCAGCAGGAGCAGGGACCTGTGATCCTGCAGGCAGATTGGGGATCCACTTGTACCCCTGGGAGGGCTGTGGGGGCTCTTCCAGACTCCTCCCGGGGGTGCAGGACCCCTGATCTGCCTGCCGGATTACAGGACACTGCTCCTGCTCCCGGGCTCCTGCTTTTCAGCAGCCTGAGGTGCAGTTTCCTAGAAACCCCTGCACCAATCTCACTTAAACTTGGCAAGCTTCATGCCCCCTAAAGGGGCTATGATCCTGGCAAGTTTAATCAGAATCAGACAAGAAATGACAAAGTTATAGGCTGTTTTGTGCTTCCCCATTATAGCCTATGGGTAAAACATTGAAACAGCATCGAAACAGCGAAACCATTTTGACAAAACGGAACAGAACCGTGCTTTCAAAATGAAACAAAACTTGAAACGAAGCACTGTTCCGTCGAAACGGAAGTCAAAGCAGAACGCTGCTGCTTTGCAAAGCCCTATTCTGTAGTATATCATTAATATGACATCAGAGCTGCATCTGTTGACCATTGTAACTGAACTAAGGTTTCCATTCCTTCTTGGGCAGCAGAGATGAACTTCTTGTGCTTCATTTGTTGTTATCTGTAATGACATACTGAATTCAACAGAATTTCACAAGTCTCCTTGAGGACCTAATTTGAGAATAGACGGGCTGCACAGAGGTAATAGGGCCTGGTTCAGCCTCTACCAACTTTACCACTGCTGTGGATGTGTGAAAACGAAAGCTTGAATTTCCGCTCTCAGGCTGGGTTTGCAGCACTGGTGGTGTTAATGCTTAGAAATAAACCCAAACTACATGGAATTTAACAGATGGTAATAAAATTGGAAGATCCCCAGTGCTATGTTTCCAGAATCTTTTTTCCAAGCACAGCCTTGGCTTAAATGATCATAAGTGCCTTAAATGATACCCTCAGTATCTTCACACAATCAACCCATTGTTTTCTAGTAAAGGAATGCCTATTTCCTAAAGAAAATAACAGTTTTGTTAAACATTTGGACAGGCGGTTGGTGTGCCGTGGTTCCTACTTATTCTTGTCTATACAACTGTCTTACTGTGCCTCTGTGATCTCTGTCTCTCTGCTATATCCACTTTTGTCTCATTTTAAGTTTAGTCTGTAAGCTCTTTAGAACAGGACTCCATTTTTAATATAGTTTTGTGGGAACCAGTGCTCCGTGCACCATCACAATACAGGTAACAAATGACGGTCATCACTCCTGTTGGTATTACTGAACCATTTCCCACTGCTTCTACGCAGTCTGACCTGTGGATGCACATCACTGTGCAGTGATGAAGAAAGCATTACTTTGCCCATGTCAGCCCTAGATTCCATAATATGGAATTTTATAGCTGAACAGAGTGCTGGTTTTTTTGCAGAATTATAGTTTTAGGTCCCAGTAGATGTCAGTAGTATTTTCTATTTTCTGAACTTATCCTTTCTGCCTTCCCCAGCTCTCCCCCACCTCCCCTGACCTTAATATGTTACCTGAAGAGCACTATCAGATCCTACCAGGCCCAGGAGCAAGAAAATAGAAATAAGAAATGAATCATGTGAGACAGGATACAAACATTAGCTTTTCAGCCTTACATAGTTTTGGTCCCGAATGAACCAAATTCAGCCCTAGTGCAAGCCATTAGCCAAGATTTGATTTGTTCTAGTGTTGTTTTTAAAAAAATCTTGGGAGGAGACCTTTTTAAACTGATTTTAGAATCTGCAGCATTAAGTGAACAGTATTTTAAAAGTCACAGCATGAAGCAAGGAGAAAGTGTATGACACCAGGATAAAGGGAGAAGTCTATATACATGAACTCAGTAGTCAGAACTAATTCCTTTATTAGTAGACCTTAGAGGTCTTGGTAACTTGTGAGAAAAGCTGTTTAATGTTACAAGAAAACATGGTATTAAAAGAAAGGGAAGTTACTGTGTTTGTGAGAAAAGCTATTTAATGTTACAAGAAAACATGGTATTAAAGGAAAAGGAAGTTACTGAGTGTGCTGTGGTAAACAGGGAAAGGAAGGAAGGATTTCCACATCATAGAAGAGAGCATTTACATTTCTGCTTTTTTCCTTTACTACTAATGGGCGATTACTGTCCATTGCAAAGTGTTCTCTCTTCATCTGGGTAACCCTGATGGGCCAGACAAGTCAAATACAGGCTAGAGAAGGAGGAAATGCTTTCCAAGCAGATCAGTGACCGGATCCCAAGGAGGCAGTGCATTTTCATTACTGGTCTGGGTTCCTTTTTTAGGGTTTCAGTCACATAAAATCAGTGTTTTATATATTCCAAAAGGATGGTTTGTACAACAGAGCTATGATAGCCATTGGCTCCCCAGTGCAAATGGAATCATGGTGATTCTGGTGTGTTTTAGAGAGGAAGAAAGCCAGAGATGTTTCTCTAAGGGACAGACCTCCTCAAAAGGTTAAGGATGCCAGTGCCAGTTTGCTATTTGTGGATGGTATGGAAAATTACCCTGGTTCTTCCATAATGTTTCAACTGATCTAAGTAGAATGCTTTTCAAATAATGCCATATTTAGCCTTTGCCTTTCTCATGCATGTTTACATTTCTGATTTGATTTTGCAGTTCTGAAATTAAGTGGACATTCCAATTATAATTATTACATTGTTTTTAAAGGTACATTAGTATTTGTATCCTAATCCCAAGGAGAAATACATGGGAAAGTATTGTGGAATATGAACTGCCATTGCCTTCTAAACTTATTATATCTTCACTGCATTTAAGCAAAGCCAAATAGCTACGAAAGTAAACACTGAGGAAGCATGAATTTCCATTGTGTTTGTGTGAAAAATCACACACTTAATTTTGGGAAATGGGTGGGGTTAGTAGGAATACAGGGTTCAAGTTTTAGCTATTGCCTTACTGCATTACCTGGGACAAGTGATATGGGCTAGGTCTCATCATTTAAATGACTGGTGCATCAGGGGTAGCCCAAAACAGATACAAATTTCTATACTTGCCTTTATGTGCGTGTGTGCCAGGTTGTCCAGAAATCTTCCTTACTGCGGTGCATCAGTGGCAAGAGTACTTGTCTTTACTTTGAGGGGAATTGTGTGAAGGGAACTGGTGAACTGTCAGCTCTTGAATGATTATAATATCCATCATCACTGAAAAGTGGATGGGTTCCAGACCAAGTTAAAACAGGGCCCAGGTTCTAACATATTCTCCAGCTGGATAAGAAAGCATGGGCTATCTAAATCTCTAAACCTCATTGTGTACCTCTAAACATCATTCAGAGATAGTCTGTATAGATTGGTTTAGTAGTAGTGCCCAGGTCAACGCTCTGCTTAACTGTGGGATGAAGACATAATTATAGAACCATAGTTTGGAGTGTATTAGTGTGTCTGAAGGTGCATAGATATGCCTGGTGGAATTTCCTAAAAGATCCTGGCTTCATTATTCACATATATTTCAATGGGGGCTAGGTGTCTAGGTGCTTTTGAAAACTAAGCAAGGAACTTTTCATATTTTGGTGCCTAAATACCTTTAAAAATCTGTTCCTTTATCTCGTCACCTGTAAAATTATGACAACATAAAGATTAATTGTTTGTAAATTCCTAGGAGAAGGTTTTTTTCCTAGAGATGACTCTTGCATATTTACTAGGTGGCTGCTTACTTGTACTTAGACTTGATTATGACTCATTCAGACTGAAGTAAGAAGTGCCTTTTTAACAGAAAGTATAAGCTACCATTGGAGCAATTTACCTGGATTCTCTGTTGCTTTAAATCATAATTGGATAAATATCCCTGAGATGCTACATCTTACCCAGCGATAGGGAGTGACTGGAGGAATTACTGGATGAAATCCTATGGCATGCGTTATATTGATGGTCAAACTAGATAGTAAAAGGGTTCCTACCAGTCTTAAAATCTATGAATCATAAATGATTGGTGGCTGACCCAACCATTCATATTCATTGTCTTTAATACACTAAAGAAGATGATGTCACAAACTAGCAATTTACTAATTTAATTATTAAAATCATTTGACATAAGTTGTTTGACAGCTGATTGACCAGTTTTCCAGTAGGAAAGATGAAAGGTCAAATTCTGGACATATAGGGTACTTATGCACGTACTCGGATGCATTCCAATTAGAGCACATTGGAGCAGACTCGTCTGCTGGCATGTTCTAATTAGAATGCTTCAGCGGGCTGCAGCATCGTGTGTATTCCATGTCCCACACTTCAAAATGGTGGCGGGGGTACTTTTAACTAAATTTCGTAGAATGAACTTTAGTTAAAGCGCCCCCGCCGCCATTTTGAAACACGAACCATTGAATACATGTGACACTATGGGGTTTTAATTAGAGCCTCTCTTCCAGAGCTTCCCCTAATTAACGTGCCCTCACCTCAACAACCCAGAGCATGTGTATAGATACCCACAGTTCCAATGGCACCGATAGCCTTCAAATGCACATAAGGGAAAAATTTAAGCCTTAAGAATGGGTAACAAAGTAAAAATGGAAATAGTACAGTAGATCAACTGTATTCTTACGAGGGCCTACTGCTTCGAAGGATGCAGTTTCATGATCCTATTGAATTGCCTCTGTATTCTACCTCCACATTGATAGTACTGGCATCCATAAGCCTTTCATAATTTATTTCTGTGGTAACCATCACTATTTCTTCCATTCAGTTATATGAATGGAACCCTGTCCTTGAACTAGTCCATAATGTTACTCCTGCTACCCCCTCCAGAAGATCTGCTTATACTAAGTTGTATACAAAAACAATGCTTCCTGTTACTAATGATTATTTAGACAATTAATATAATTAATATATATTTTATAAATAGTTTACCACTTTCCCTCCATACTTGATTTCCTGATAATTTCCTTAGTTATTGTATTTTGGGGTAAGCAACTGTTCTGAAAGTGCTTGGCACATTGTGGTTGCCTTTATAATAGAAATACGTGTGTTGCATAATCTAGCTGCTTTTTACTCATCTTTTTGTAATAAGCACTTTTAAAATTGTTTTTCCCCTATCAGCCCCTCAGGTTCACGGCCTCCCACTCCTAAAAGTGATTCAGAATTAATCAGTAAAACTTTGGACCGGGGAGCACAGAAGAATAACCCACAAATGCATTGGGCCTGGGGAGAACTACCTCAAGCTGCAAAGGTATCAGATGTAAATCTTGTTCAGTCCTGCTACTATCTTCAAGGCTTTAACAGGGCCTGTACAGTCACATTATTTCAGACAGATGACATATGTGCATAGTTTTACATTTTATATAGGAATATCAGTGTCAAGTTTCAGAGCTGATTTATGCTGAACTGTGAAAGCGAAGAACAATAAATTATTTGTTGCAATGGAGGAGAGAGAATTTGAGATGGATTCAAAGTGGGTGGGTGGCATGGTTAGATAGCTTTAGAAGCTTCCTTTGGATTGAGGGGGCAGTGGAGGTTTTGGAATGAATGCCAAAAAAGCACCAACTGAGTGGAGAAATGTTCAAGGCCTGAACAAGAGTTTTAGCTGTTGGGTCAGACAGAAAGGGTCAGATTTCTAAAATACTGTAGAGGAAGAAGTGATAAGATATGAATATAAATAAGATGGGTATAGAGAAAGAAAGGAAAGTGTTGGAGGTGTCATAGGGTGTTCTATCTAGAACTTCAGGCTTTGGCCTCCTTCTGTAGGAGGAAGGCATTGTGTGAAAAACACAGTAGTATAGAATTAAATGTCCTTGTTTTTATTCATATATTTATCACTAATTGGAATACAGTAGAATGCTAAACAGCTTCTCCGATCAGGACAACCCTTGAGCCGTTATGAGATGGGGTAGTAACTGTGTGATGTAATTGTTGAATCTGCATGTCCACATAGTGTAGCAAAAGCCATTACAACTTTAACCTGGTTTCATTCAGAGTTAAATTTACAGAGATTTAGCTCATTAGATACGTACAGGGGTATGCAGAGGTAATATTTAACAGCATAAATAGATGGTGTATGACAACTCCCCGTACATTTTGGAAGCAGCTAAAAGTTAGTTCCGTCTATAGCCATGTTTAGAGTCAGGAAGGAATTTTACCCCAGGATCAAATTGGTACCGACTCTGGGGGTTTTTGCCTTCCTCTGTAGCAGGGGGCGTGTGGCCCTCTATCTGGGATCTCTTGAAAATATATTAACAACTTTTTACAGAAGCAGGATATTGGCTTGCCATGGTCCTCCTGCTTTACCTCTGGCAGGTTAGGATGTTATGCCTTGTCAGGGTTGACTGTAGTTTTATTAAGAGGTTAGGTTATGGATTTGGATAGGAGGAGTTGGACAGTGGTGGTCCTACCTCAGGCAGGGTTTGGACTAAATGACCTATGGAGTTCCCTCTCAGCCCTACTTCTCCATAATTCTCTATGATTCTGTGGCCAGAGGTTGCATATTAAATGATTTTATTAACAGATGACCAGATAAGGGAATTCAGAAAGCTTTTACATTTTTTTTTTCTCAGAAGCACTCATCCTCACCAAACAGCAACAGGTTTCCTGATAAGGGAGGAACAAGGACTCTTTGAAGAACTTTATGGGAATTGATTGGAGTGCTGTTGTTCAGGGTTCATCTGCATATAAAATGACTGGCCAGTATTTCAGAAAAGTGACTAGTGATTTTAGGAGCTCTGATTTTTGGATGCCAGACTGCAGAAATCTTTACAGGGCTTTTCAGAAATTGCTGACCAACCATTTTTTCAATATTGGATTCTTTCACAGTGTTAAGATGAACACTTGAGGTCATTAGTTAATTTTGAAAATCTTGGCTCCATCTGTAATTCTGCATTGCAGATTTTTTTTTCCTTTTAAGTAATTGAAACCAGCACATACAATTACATTGTGTCTTGTGATTGTTCTGTGGATACATGATACAGGGTGACATTTTTAAAGATCTAGATAATTGAAGGTGTTTGTGGGAGGTCCGTAATACCTTAAACATTCTGGATCTAAATGTTTGAGGAACCTACAACCCAGTAAAAGTCAATGGGACTTAGATTCTTAAGTCACTGATAGAGTTTAGAAAATATAATCTGTGCAACCAACTAAGAGGCATGTTTGCTACTGATTTATTAATCTTCAGAACACAGCTGCTCATTCTATGTGACATACTCAAGTTGTATAACAGTGGGCAAATGCAGAAACTCAATATTTGGCACTCAGGTCAGATGAAGATACATGCCTACTTGGTGCATATGCGAATCAATGACCTGATACCATACCAAGCCAGCTTTGCTATGTGTGAATAATACCAAAGCCAAGCCACACTAAACTGGTAAACTTCAGGCAGAAACTCCACCAAGACAACAAAGAAAGCTTCTTCTTTCATTGTATTAGAAAGTTAATACAAAATATTCTGAGTGTGTTTTAGTTAACAGAGGTTTTCGTCTATAACTGGCTCTCTTGAGAACTCTGCCTGCAAATTATCGGTGTTAAGAAACTTATCCAGCTTCAAAGTATAGCTTGGTATTCTTACCTCCCACTGAACTCAAAATCAAATATGGCATTGTAAAACAGCTTTGTGTAGCACCCTGAGAACTTTGTGTTGCCTTTTCCGCAGGTGCCTCTTGATCTTCATCTGTTTCCTTTCTTTTTCCCCCCCTGTAGTCCACTTCACTCAAGGCTAAAGAAGCTGGTGCGATGAATGTAAATCCTTCTGAAAGCACTCACTTTCGGGTCATACAAAGTGCTCCTGCAGAAGAGTTTGGCAGTGTATCTCTTTCACCTGCTCTTGGACAGGCAGATACTGCAGCTCCTGATGAAACCGAGCCCCAGCCAGAACCAGTTGAGATAAATCAACCAGAGCCTGAGTCTGCAGGAGCAGTTGCAGCACCTCTGCCTGCAAATGAAGACATAAAACAAGCTGCATCTTGCTTAGCTCAGCCAGTTAGCAAAACAGATTCACCCCTCAAAAAGAAAGGTAGAGCATTTGCTTCTACAGTGTATGTCCATGATTTTGCTTGTAGATCCCAGTATGATAAGATATTCTGTACTCAACCACACTAATCTAGAACATTCAGAACTAATAAAATCATTTTAGGTTATGCTGAAAATACATAAGCATTTTACATCATCAACAGCTAAATGCAGGTTAGTTGTGCATGCTCTTTAATAATAAAGGTATGGAATGAGGATTTTATCCCTTGGGTTTTTCTGACATTTAGTAGATCAAAGCACAGGAAAAAGGCTACAAAACTTGTACTGAACTCTTCCCTGGCAGAAAATCCAGGTATTGCAGAAGTTTATGGTACAAGCATGCTATGGGTTAGTGTTTGTAGGGAATGCTGCCATTATGACATTCTGCCATTATCTCCTGGAACACCCTAGCCTCAGAAAGACATTTCAGAATGTCTCGTAGGTGAACATGATACATACTACAAAAGTAAGTGGTTTCATGTCATATAAGCAACTGCAGGTCTCGTTAGCATATACATAATCTTCTTAAGTTCATGTGGTATAACTCTGTCTGATTCATTTCTTTCTATTTGCCAAAGATAATGTCAAATTATCTTTCCATAAGTGTACAGGGTCAAACTCTGTTCCACCTACTATTGGATTTTAGTGTGATTCTATTCCACCCTGCTCAAGTCCCTGATAATCCATTAATACATCTACTTTTATAACAACAGCCACTTTATCCTTACGACTGAGTTACAAGAAACCCCCCAAAACAAAAACCAAAAACCGAATAAGGAGGAAGAGGACCTACCCACCTTTTGCATTAATGGTTTTTCAAGGACTCAAATGAGGTGCAGTAGAATTGCACTTATGTGCTTAAGTTGACTTTTGGCTTAATAAGTAGACTTGAGTCTGGCCCATAATATCTACATGAGTTTTACTTGTTCACAGTTTCTATTTTTGTAGACCCCAAATTCTCCAGGGATTATCCAAAACATCAGAAATGTATGCTTTAACCTTTGTACCAGAAAACATTATTACGAGTCTGTTTTTCAGCCCCTTCAGTAGTTCCGCATTTTTGAGGACAGAGATTATAGAGTTGTTCTACCTAGCATTCAAGCCTTAAATTATCTTCTTTGGATCACTTTTCAAATATTAAAATATGAGGAGTTCTGTGTGTTTGGGTAAAGAATGCTAATGGGAGTTTACAGTACTGAGTCAGAATATCATGACCTTGCCATTTCTGCCATTAGCTGCCATTTCTGCCATTAGCAAGAGACCAAAGGTGGCCCAGTATAGAGGGTACTCACTAGAGACCTAGGTTCAGGTCCTTTGCTTGTCATGGCTGTCTTGAAGCAAGCTACTTAGGCCCAGATCATTTTTGATTACCATATCTTTGATGATATGACCCTCAGCCTTTCTGTGCCTCCTTTTACCAGCTATAAAATGGGGATAATATTATTTCCCCAACTCACAGGGAGTTATGAAGCTAAAGATATCAAAGATTGTGAGGTCCTCACAGTTGAAGGGTGGGAGGGAAGGCAGCAAATGAATACCTTAGAGAGAAAGCAGTGAACACAAAGCATTCTAAAATGTCAATGATTTTAATTCCTAGTTGGCTCTATTTGGACTTGTAAGGTTCAGTACCTCAGAAACTCAGCCTTTTTCTGAGTCCTTTGAGCACCTAAAACCAAATCTGAATTCAGCAGCCAGGATTGAAACATCTGGCTTTGCAATGATAATCCTACATTTTCTTTCTACCTCAAACTATCTTCATATGTTTTATGTACTATTGAACTTGTAAACCATACTGTTGTTTTTTTTTTAAATTCCAGTTCTTTATTTGGAAAACACTTATTCATTTAGTTATTTATTCTGTGTTTACAGATAAACGAAGTCGGCATCTTGGTGCCGATGGTGTCTATTTAGATGACCTCACCGACATGGATCCGGAAGTTGCTGCACTTTATTTCCCCCAAAAGTATACGTTATTTGTTTGTATTAAATAATAGTATTTAAATACTCATCTTTTCCTGACAGGTTCTTTTCAGCGGTCATTGCACCAAACAGTTTTATTGCATGTTATGAATAGTTTGTGTTTCCTGAAACAAAGTCTAAGTTTAATGGGATTTGGAGAAAGATAAACAAAACTATGCATCGAGAAGCTGGTATTCTTGAAGCTTTTAAAGCATTCCACACTTGTGCATAAGACCCTGTCTGAAACTGATAGTCTTTTTGATTGACCTAGAATTTATTAATGTTAATATTAGTATTACGTATTCATTACTCAAAGCATCTTAATACTCTACAGTTTGTAATCATCTACATGTAGCATGATGGAATATTATTTTGGGTGATATTTACAGTGTATATGCTTGTGAAAATGTGTTTTGAGCCAAAACACATCATTGCTATTTTTGGTTTAATTTTCATTAGTATTTCTTTTAACAAGTTTTTGGTTCTCATTTCATATCATAATTTAGCATGATAAGAAAAGCATTTAGCATATTCCCCATCCTATGCACAAAGTTATACCAGTACAAACAGTTTTAAAGTGCTTGTACTGGTGAGGTACATAGATGAAGCAGTGGAGCTTTTGTGTTCAGTAATGAGTTTAAATTCTTATTAGGCAAGACAATTACCATGTAAAATAGTGTTTGTTTCTATGAGGCTGAAAGCAATGAGGACTAAAAGCCCAATTTATTTTTTCAGTGGTGATAATACTTTACATAATAAGAATGGAAATGAAAATGGACCACGGTCTGCCAATCAGTCTCCTCAGTCTGTTGGAAGTTCAGGTGTTGACAGTGGTGTTGAAAGTGTCTCTGATGGAATAAGAGATTTGCCCTCCATTGCCATTTCACTCTGTGGTGGTCTTAGTGACAACAAAGAAATAACAAAAGGTATGGTATGAGCTTGTACCTTGCCATTACATGTTGTTTAAATCTCAGCATCTGTTAAAAATGAAACAGTGCCCTCTTGGCAGACAAGGTTCTTTGGGTAAGACAAGGTTTGTCAGTGCCCTCTTGTGGTTAACTGGGATTTAAGATTGAAGGAATAAGCAGCACTTTTCAGACAGCGAGGAACAGTCTCACAATTTCTAGGGGCATTAATACAATACTACTTATTTTAACATTCTGTACTTCATACTGCTGGTTTTGTGCATTAGTAATAAAATGGTGTCTTTACCGCCTAAATTACCTTGTAGTACAGTATGATTACTAAATTCTTATCTACGGTACCGGTAGAGAGGAAGAATATCCAGAGGTTAGGACACCAGCCTGTGACTGGGAAGATCCCAGCTTTACCAGAGATATCAGGTGTGATGTCACTACTTCTGTTCTTCATGTGTAAATTGGGGATAACAGCACTTCCTTCCCTTAAATGGGTGTTTGAAGATGAAGAGATTAAAGACTGTGAGGAGTGCAGATGCAGTGGTAATCAGGGCCATAGGGGTATCTAAGACTGATACTTTATTTGAGCACTGTTTGTAAACTATATTTCACATGTATGGTAATAAATTGTAATTATATTTATCCAGTGGTTTGAAGTTGCAGTAAAGTATGTTTAGATTGGATATCAGGAAAAAATTCTTCATGGTTAGATCAGTGAGGCAATGGAATAGATTGCCTAGGGAAGTTGTGGAATCTCTATTCCTGGAGGTTTTCAAGAAAAGGTTGCATAAGCACTGGTCAGGGAACTATGCCTATGCTCTATTGTGGGTATTAACTATCTTTCTGGAGTTTGCTGGTTGATGCATGGGGCTGAGAAGGACTTTTTCCCCCTTTTTGCTATTACATGTCTAGGTTTTTTATTTCACCTTCCTCAGAAGCACTATATCCAATGCTGGAGATTTTGAATTGGGTGCACCAGAGCTAGGGTTAAAAAGCCCATAGGGTGCTAGATAGAGGGTCTTGCCCCTCTGCCACATTTGTAAGGCAGGAAGGAATTTTATCCCATTGTCAAATTGGTGTGAATTGGGGGGATTTTGCCTTCCTCTATAGAAGGGGGTATTGCCCTCTTGCTTTGATCTTTCAAGTGTATTTTAACAACCCTTGCAGCAGCAGGACAGTGACTCCATTTCCCTGCACTTTACCTGTGATAGGTGCTATGCATTGTGGTTATCTGACAGTGCTGACTGTGTAGTTTTAATAATAGGTTAGATGAGGACTTGTATGGGAAGGTTTGCATAGGGATGATCCTGCTTCAGGCACAGGGTTGGACTAGATGACCTCCAGTGGTCTCTTTCTGCCATGATTTTCTATGGGTCTGTGATTGTTGTGGTTTAGTTAATCATGTTTCCAGTTCCTGAGGACAGGACAATACACAAAGGGTTTATTCACAGAGCACAAACATTTCTCACTCTCCCTTAGGTTATGATCAGGCACTAGAGCTATGGTCCTAGTGCCATTTGACTGAATAACTCATGGCTGGAGCACAGTTAATGCAGAGCAGTATAAGGCACAATTTCTCTAGGTGTTAAGGTGATATTGCAAGATGCTGATGATAGCCCTGACTTTCATTGTCCGTCTCTTCTGAGTTAAAAAAGCAGCTTCAAAAAAGTGCTTAGCATCTGGAAAGACTGGGCCCCTAGGTATCTTAACTCCATAGTACTGAATATCTCAGCACCCCAACAGTGAAGGATGACATTTAGCTCTCTGAGATGCTTTTAGAATGGGCAACCTATATGGGCATGATTAACTTTTTTTTTTTTTTTAACAACAGATCAGTTCTTAGAGCATGCAGTAACATATCAGCAGTTTGTGGACAATCCTGCCATCATTGATGACCCCAATCTTGTGGTTAAGATTGGAAACAAGTAAGTATATTTCAGAGGAAACAAGTCAAGCCCTGTTGCAATAACACTTGTATTTTCTGTAGCATCACTTTAGTGCTTGCAGCAGCTCCACCTTTGCTGGAAAGTGGGCTCTTGTTTTTCTACTTTGAAAAAGTCAAATCTCCAGCTACTTCTTTTTCTTCTGCTGCCTAGTTACACCTGCCCAGTAACTGTTTTGGCAGCTAGTCAAAGTGAACCCAATTTGCATTTCAATGGATAGCACTGAGTGCTAACTGCATTCATAATCAATAGAATTAAAATGAAATATCATGTAAACCTTGCTCTTAGATTGGGATTTGGCATATTTGAGCAATGAGCACTGTGGTCTGCTCATGACTACTCCATACATATTCTATAAGGGGAATATTGCATCCTAATTTCCTGGCTGCTGATGTGGTCTTGGGAAAAGTGCTTATCTTCTGTGTGCCTCTGTCCCTTCACGTGTAAACAGAGGTAACGATACTTGCCAATGGTGTAGGGCAGGGTTGCTCAACCTCCAGTCTGCAGGCTAAATCTGGCCCATGGAGCAATGTTGTCCAGCCCATGGGGCTCCCCACTGTGCCACTCAGTGGGCCAGCAGGGCACAAAAGTTTGAGCACCACTGTTGTAGCATGTTGTGAAGAGAAGACTAATCAGTGAAGACTTAATGACATAGTTTCCTTTGGGATCACATCTATATTGCATCCTTACTGAGCTTGTGACTGCTGTCAAAAAGCATGGCCCATCCACTTGTCCAGGGTAGGAGGTGTCCAGACAGAGCAGAGGTATGCTGTGAGGAGCTGTGCAAGCTACATTTTTATGAGTAGATGTGTAACACCTCTCAGGATTTAGTCTTCTATTTAAACACGGGAAGTTGAAGGTACATTCAATAATACCACAGAAGAAATTCTACACCTTACAGAACCCAGCCCTTAGCATTTGTATAGAGCGCTGAAGTATAAGAAACAGTGTGTGTGGCTGGTAGAAAATGTAGGTTATGCTATAATAATGAGCTTTGGCATAGGCATACGGAATGGATGTTCAATCAGTTTCTCCATGATTACCCAAGAACCTGCGAAAAATACTTGTGTGAAGACCCAACTATATTAGTCAAATTAGATGGGTCTTCTGATGCTCATCTGGTCCAAATGTTGTAGTTTTCTTCTTTATTTTAACAAAATTCTATCATATTAATCTACTATGTGATGCATATTAGGTTGTGGATTGGAGTCTTTGAGAGCATAAAGTGGAACAGTAATTTTTTTGTTTGGCTTCGTAGATACTACAACTGGACAACAGCTGCTCCACTCCTCCTGGCAATGCAAGCATTTCAGAAACCTTTGCCAAAGGTAAGATTGAACATGGAAGTCATTTGGGACAATGTCAGAACTGTGGCATTTTGCATTTCCATAAGAAAATCAAGTTCACAAACACAGAAAAAGTAACCTTATTGTACAGAAGGATATGTGCACAGAAAGTAGCTGAACCAGCATATTTAGTTTCTGCTGAGAACCTGGGGCCAAATTTAGCCCCAGAGGCCATGTCCACACAAGTGTGGGTATTTCTTTCCCTGGGGACACGAAGCAGTGGCACACCTTGTCCCCGGGGAACCCCTGTGCTATGCGTCTTCTGGTGTGTGGCAGGTTACCATGGGTGGGGTGGGGCTGGAGCCAGCACGGTGCCTTACTTGAGGTCCTGGGGGCCTCCTGGGGCTGCAGTAGCAGCAATCCTGCCACTTGGGAGTCTGGCTGGCAGACAGAGTGTGGCTCTGGGTGGTGCATGCTGCCCCTGTGTGCCCCGCTCTGGTGGTTTTTTGCATGGGATTTTTGACCCTGAGATCTCCCAGGGTCACCCTCTCCAGCCCCCCCACCTCCCCACCCTACACACACTGCTACCTTGCAGCAGTGGAAACAGCTGAATGTGTGTTATGTGGCACCGCTGATGTGGCTGTGCTTGTCTAGATATGGCCAGAGTGAGCAAGGCTAAATTTTGTCTACATTACATTATTTATTTGCTGAGTTACAAAAATATGCAAAGTATTTAGAGCTAAAAAGTCCTAAAAGTGAAAGTCCTTCTTGATGATTTATCCTCCCCTCTCTTTTGGATCAATATTTGTTGGCTTCTCAGCATAGATTATATTTATACAGACAACTGAATTCTGTAACTGAATATTTGGTGTCTGTGTCTTCTATTATGTCTGCATAGAGTTTGTAATCTCAGTAGAAGTCGAGACTAAGATTTGGACAGTTGTTACAGTAGTAGGCCTTGCTTGAAGTGCCAGAAAAGAACCATATGTCCTCTAGGGAGATTTGTAATTGGATACAGTGTTTTCCACTGCTAAGTTACTTATTTGCAAGCCAAGCAGCCTGGGAGCAACAGATTGCTATGAGCAACTGACAGCTGTTTGGTGGCTTATATTAAATGAATTAGTGGGCTTGGTCCAACGTCTGTCTGGTGGTCAGGTTTCCATATCAAGACTTAGTGTGGAGATACTCTATAAATGGCTGCTAAGTAATAAATATCATATTTGGCACTAATCAGTACCCCAGTTGGCCACAGATTCAATAGATCATAGTACTTAAACTATCCTCTTACCCTCGGAAGTGCTCCCCATTGTACAGGGTTCATTAACAGGAACTTATTGGGAAAACAGCCATTCTGCAGTTTTGCTTGCTACACAAATATCATCTCTGGTTTTGATCCATGTGAGTTCAAAACGTCTTAGTGTCATTTTGAATTTGGAATCTAAATTCACTGAAAATCTAAGGGCTTCTATACATGTGCAGGGAGGCTGCTCCGATGTGCTCGATTAATTGAGTCCGCTGCAGCATGGAAATGAATGTGCTCTGCCAGCCTCTGGCATCATGTGTATCAGCATCCCCACATTGAAAAATGGAGGTGGAATGCTTTGAAATAAGGCTCGTCAAATGAGCTTTAATACAAAGCACCCCGCTGCCATTTTTTCAGCACAGGGATGCTGATACATGTGATGCTTGGGCACTTTTAATTAGCATGGCTTGCTAATTAAAGTGCCCCACCCTGCCTCCCATAGTACACCTATAAACATCCTAAGACACAAGCTCAGTCAGTGCCACAGCATTACTCAGTGTGTCTTTGTGTCAGGACCATGTACACCTGTAAATCTATGCAACTGTAGTGTAACATACAGGCTCAAAGTAAACTGCCCCATATTTGCAAACATCTGGTGAATTTGGTCTCAGTGGGCATGTCTACATGAGATGCTACTGTGCAGTGGCGTTGGTGGGCACTAACTGTGATGTGATGCTTCTTCGCAGCAGTAACAAGCTACTCCGCAGTACCTTGTTGCTACTGCGCAGTAGTGTCTGAAAAAACCATGCTCTGACACTATTGTGCAGTAATTTATGCAAGTACTAAATGACTGTGTAGTAACAACTGCACAGTCAGCAGCTCATGCAGACATGGCCACTTTTGAGTTAGTAATGAATTGTACAACCAATTGAGTTTTGTGTTTCATTGCAATTATTTTACTCATCTCTATGCCTTTGATGGGTCGATTAGGAGATTCAGGGTTACATTGCAGTTGGGATGAAATGAAGGGTAGTTTAGCCATTGATTTCAATGGGTTCAAGACTTCACCATTCTTTACACAAATATCATCTCTGGTTTTGATCCATGTGAGTTCAAAACGTCTTAGTGTCATTTTGAATTTGGAATCTAAATTCACTGAAAATCTAAGGGCTTCTATACATGTGCAGGGAGGCTGCTCCGATGTGCTCGATTAATTGAGTCCGCTGCAGCATGGAAATGAATGTGCTCTGCCAGCCTCTGGCATCATGTGTATCAGCATCCCCACATTGAAAAATGGAGGTGGAATGCTTTGAAATAAGGCTCGTCAAATGAGCTTTAATACAAAGCACCCCGCTGCCATTTTTTCAGCACAGGGATGCTGATACATGTGATGCTTGGGCACTTTTAATTAGCATGGCTTGCTAATTAAAGTGCCCCACCCTGCCTCCCATAGTACACCTATAAACATCCTAAGACACAAGCTCAGTCAGTGCCACAGCATTACTCAGTGTGTCTTTGTGTCAGGACCATGTACACCTGTAAATCTATGCAACTGTAGTGTAACATACAGGCTCAAAGTAAACTGCCCCATATTTGCAAACATCTGGTGAATTTGGTCTCAGTGGGCATGTCTACATGAGATGCTACTGTGCAGTGGCGTTGGTGGGCACTAACTGTGATGTGATGCTTCTTCGCAGCAGTAACAAGCTACTCCGCAGTACCTTGTTGCTACTGCGCAGTAGTGTCTGAAAAAACCATGCTCTGACACTATTGTGCAGTAATTTATGCAAGTACTAAATGACTGTGTAGTAACAACTGCACAGTCAGCAGCTCATGCAGACATGGCCACTTTTGAGTTAGTAATGAATTGTACAACCAATTGAGTTTTGTGTTTCATTGCAATTATTTTACTCATCTCTATGCCTTTGATGGGTCGATTAGGAGATTCAGGGTTACATTGCAGTTGGGATGAAATGAAGGGTAGTTTAGCCATTGATTTCAATGGGTTCAAGACTTCACCATTCTTCTCTTCGGTTATCAGTCGAAACACCTTTCATGAGTATGAAATATACTGTTTTTTCCCCCTAAACACCAGCGCTTGCATTCCAGTTATTAGTGGAACGAACCAGTCAAAGGAAGAAATGACTACTGAATAAAAAGTGTTGTAGAATCATAGGAAATAGAGGTGTAAAGGATCTTGAGAAATTATTATAGTCCATTCCCCTCCCTGAAGGCAGGATCAACCATACTTAAAAAATTCCTGACAGATATTTGTCTGTCCTGCTCTTAAACTTTCAGTAATAGAGATTCTACAGTCAATCTAGATAATTTATTTCAACATTTAACTATCCTTACAGTTAGAATATTTTCCCCCTAGCCACATCTCTCTTGTGGCATCTTAAACCCAATGAACATGGAGAACAGGTTACAACCTTCCTCATTGTAGTAGCCTTTTACATGTTAGAAGATTGTTGACATATCCTCCTTTTAGCCTTTTGGTCTCTAGATTAGAAAACTCGGATCTTTCAACTTTTACTCAGGGCTTATGTTTTCTAGAGCTGTTCATTTTTGTTGCTTTCCTCTAGACTCGCTCTCCATTTGCTCCACATCCTTTCTGAAATATACTGCTCAGAGCTAGGGACTGTACTCCAGATGAGGCCTTGCTAGTTCTTACCAGGTCTTACAAATACTTGTTGCTTGGAAAGATTTGTATGGGTTAACTTTACCCCAGAAATTACCATTTATACCATAATAGAAAATAAGGCTGGAAGGAACCTCAGGAAGTCATCTTGCCCAAGTCCCTATCCAAACCATCCCATACATGTGTTTGTCTAACCTATTCCTAAAACTAAACAAACAACTCTGCTGCACAACTACAAAGCACATTGTCCCAGAATAGCAGGAACACTAACCTGCTATAAATAAAGCAGAGGGATGAGGACACCATCAAAGTCCTCCTGCTAAAATACACTCAAGAAATTCAAGGAAGAGGATAACTCTCCCAGCTACAGAGCAAGACAACCCCCCTGACAGACTGGGCTGATCTAACCATGGGATCAAATTCCTTCCTGATCCCAAATATAGTGATCAGTCGAACCCTGAGTGGAGGGACAAGACTGTATCCAGGAACTTCCGTTTTTTAATTCCAGCAGGAGCATCAACACACCCCCATCAAAATCCTCAGCCGTTGTTGCAACCAACACCCAGTGTTTCCATTATTATTACCAATCACCCTATAAGTCATATTCCCCCTAACCATTTTCATTACCTTCTGCTGGACTCTCTCCAACTTGTCCACATCTTTTGTGTGTTGAGGGGCCCAAAACTTGACATAGTACTCCAGATGTGGCCTCACTAGTGAAGGATCGAGTAGAATAATTACTTCCTTCGATCTGCTGTTAACACTCCTACTAACGCAGTCCAGTATGCTGGTAACCTTCTTGACTTGTATTCAACAGTTCACCAGTCATCAGTTCCTCACATGTTATGGACATCCATTGGATCACAGGCTCTAGCAATAACATAGGCAAGGAGGTGCCAGTTCTTAAAGCGAGGTTGTCTCCATGTCTTCTTGTATTTGTCACTCTGTCTGAAGGTGGTGTTTGTGATGACAAAACCATGCTCTGTGCATTTGCATAGGAGAAGTATGCCATCGGAATTGGCTTTCCATATCTTTCCTTCCCAGTGGTGCCACTCCAGAGTTCCAGGTCATATCTGACCCTGGCAATGAAGTCACCAAGGAGAAAGATCTTGTCTTCCTTGCAAATATTAGTCATAATGTAGTCAAGGTTGGAGTAAAACTGTTCTTTGACCATCAGCATCAAGTGTTGGGGCATATGCACTGATGATGGTCGTGTGCTGGGTGTTGCTGAGCTTAAATCAAAGAGCTTAAATCAAAGATGTTCATTAATGCCCACAGGGAGCTCCATAAGTAGATTGATGAGCTGATTCTTGATGGTGAAGCTGACTCCATTGTGGGGTGGTTACTCCTTCCAGAAGAAGGTATAGTTTCCACCCTCTTCCTTCAGCTGACCCTCATCTGGTTGTCTTGACTCACTCAGAGCCGGAAGGTTGATATTGTATTTCACTAGTTCTCTGGAGCCAACATCTGTTCTTCTTTCTGGTCATTCATTTTCTTGGTTATCCATTGAGGTGCAAATCTCCATGTTATGAACATCGTTGTATTCTTTTGATGTTTTTGTCTGCAGAAGAGTGATCATGCTGGACATGGTTATCCAACCTGGAGCAGATAAAGCAGTTTAGATTTATGGCACCTTTTCTAGCCCCTTCTCCATGTGGGATGATCATTGCGGGCCCTGAATAGGACTTCTGAGTCATGGTAGCAGCTGCCAAATTGCACCCTGCTCTCAATCCAGGTGCAAGATGACCATCTCACTGCTGCTGCCTGCTGTCCTATACTGGCTCTGTCACCACTGGTTCATTGCTGCAGGGCTTTTGGAGGTTGGTGCAGGAAAGTGTGGTGTTTTTTTTTCCCGTGGTAGAAGCTTGCACGTGACTTTATTTAACATGAGAAAGCTGATGCACAGAAACAGCAACCACTTGATTTTGACAAGGTGGATATATGAGCCCAATGGCATGAAAAACCCTAGATGACAGGAAACCTCCATCTTGCTGCAGCTTTCTTCAGTTTTTACAGTTGTTGAGATCCTGGCATCTTTTCTAACATGATCTTCTGTTGAGGACTTGAGTTTGGACTGTTGTTTGTCTGGAACCTCCCCTCAGGCCGGTTTGCCATTGGTGACCCTGCCAGGTGTGTGAGAGTCTGGGCAACTTAGCTTTGAGGATCATTGGGACACATAAGCCTCCTCACCACTTCAAGGTCTTGATCCATGTAGAAGATAGTGAAAGTTATGCACATGCTTAAATACTTTGCTGAATGGAGCCATTGTTTTTAACAATTCTTTCCC